CCAGAAGATTGCAAGTAGATCCTTAAAATGTTGCATCAAAACAAATCTTCTTTTGCTAATCATGTTGGTAATTCTTCCAACCACGATGATCTCTCAAGTAAAGCTTTTTCATTCATGCATCATGGCAAGCACAATATTTGGATCCTGGATAGTGGTGCCACAGATCACATAGTTTGCAGCCCCGAGTCCCTTACATCCTCTAGGCCTGTTCAAAATCACACTGTTGCATTACCCAATGGATCCCTTGCCACGGTCACTCATGTTGGCCAAGTCATTTTTTCTCCTAATTTTATCCTTGACAATGTTCTTTGTGTCCCAATCTTTACGTTAAATTTAATATCCATTAGTCAATTGGCTTATGATTCATTTGCTATTACCCTTTTCTTAAACCATTTTTGTGTCATCCAGGACCTACGATCGGGGAAGATGATTGGGACGGGAATTGAACGGGAAGGACTCTACTACCTTGACTCACCAAAGAAAGGAACATGCAATGTTATCCAAACCATCTCTCCCAACCTTTGGCACCAACGCCTTGGTCATCCATCACCTAAAGTTACTATGTTGTTTCCCTTTTTCTCCAATAAAACATGTGATCTCACTCAATGTTTAATTTGCCCCTTGGCTAAACAAACAAGGTTGCCTTTCCCTTTAAGTTCCATGTCTACTACTTCTTGTTTTGAATTAATTCATGTTGACATTTGGGGTGGTTATCAAGTACCTTCTCTTTCTGGTGCAAAGTACTTTCTTACCATTGTTGATGATCATACTAGGTGCACATGGATCTATTTGATGAAACATAAATCTGATACAAATAACCTTCTCACTCCATTCATTCATATGGTTGCCACACAATTTAACACTCAAGTTAAAATGGTTCGCAGTGATAATGGTCCCGAGTTTAAACTTGATACATTTTATGCATCCCAAGGAATTATTCATCAAACTAGTTGTGTCCACACACCCTAGCAAAATGGTGTTGTTGAACGCAAGCACCGTCATCTGCTTAATGTTGCTCGTGCACTGCTTTTTCAAACTCAATTACCTAAAAGATTTTGGGGGGACGCTATCCTTACTTCTGCATACCTCATTAATCACACACCTACTCCCATTCTTCATGGACAAACTCCATATGAAAAGCTGTTTCACAAACCACCCACTTACACTCACCTCAAAGTCTTTGGATGTCTTTGTTTTGCATCCACTCATGCACACAAACCCTCCAAATTTGATCCCCGTGCCTGTCGTTGCATTTTTCTAGGATATCCTTATGGTACAAAAGGCTATAAACTTTTTGATCTTCAACTTCAAAAGGTTTTTATCTCCCGGGATGTGATTTTCTTTGAAGATAATTTTCCTTATTCTCATTTAGAACCCTCAACTGCACCTACAACCTCTCCTCCAACACCACCTTCCGCACCCTTGCTATCTTTTGACCTGGAACCTCCCTTTCACCCACCTCACCCCTATACTGACATTGCTTCTAATGATACTTCTACACCAAACCCATCACCACCTTCCCCTCAGCCTCTTCCTTTCGTTGATGCCACGACACCATCCACCCTTACACCCTCCCCTCCCTCCTCATCTGCTCCCATGACCACACACACCCTACTCCCACCCCCACTCCGCCGAAGTACCCGCCCCACCAAGCCTTCTTCGTTTTTGCAGGACTTTCATGTCGAGGTGTCTCTCCCCTCCCGGTCGGCTCCCACATCTTCCACGAACGTGGTCAGGTCGTCGTCAGGTACACCCCATCCACTTTCTTCTCACTTATCCTATACTTGTCTCTCGCCCTTCTATAAAGCCTTTGTTGCTCATCTCACCCTTTATAAGGAACCAACTAGCTATTCCCAGGCTTTCCAGGATCCCCATTGGCGTGCTGCCATGCAAAATGAACTTGCAGCCCTTCATGCCAATCATACATGGACGCTCGTGCCTCTTCCTCCTTGCAAACGTCCTATTAGCTGCAAATGGGTCTACAAAGTGAAGCTCAAACCCGATGGCACCATCGAACGGTACAAAGCCCGTCTTGTTGCCAAAGGATACAATCAGGTCGAAGGAGTTGATTACCGTGACACGTTTACTCCCGTGGCTAAGTTAACTACTGTTCGAGTTCTCTTAAGTGTTGCAGCCTTGCAAGGCCGGCACCTTCACCAGCTCGATGTGAACAATGCTTTTTTACATGGTGACTTGGAAGAGGACGTCTACATGTCTTTGCCTCCTAGTTTTGGATGCAAGGGGGAGACTCGAGTTTGTAAATTGCATAAGTCTCTCTACGGCTTAAAGCAAGCTTCGAGGCAATGGTTCATAAAATTATCCAATGCTCTCAAGGCTGCTGGGTTTCAACAATCTTTGTCCGATTACTCTCTGTTCACTAGAAGTCATCGAGGTACATTCATTGCTGTACTGGTTTATGTTGACGATGTTATACTGGTAGGGAATGACTTATGTGAGATTAACAAAACCAAACAACTTCTCTTTCACCGTTTTAAACTAAAAGACTTGGGGGTACTCAAGTATTTCTTGGGGATAGAGGTTGCAAGATCGAAGCATGGAATCACTCTATGTCAACGTAAATATGCACTGGAGATACTGGATGATGTTGGTTTTCTAAGCGTGAAACCTTCCAGGTTTCCTTTAGACCAAAACTTGGCTCTCACGCAACTGGAAGGAAAATTGTTGGATGATCCCTCTTCATATAGAAGACTTGTGGGTAGATTGATATATTTGACCATCACAAGACCCGACTTGGCTTATGCGGTACATGTTTTGAGTCAATTCATGGAAAAGCCTCGGCAACCACACCTTGATGCTGCACACAAGGTCCTTAAATACATCAAACAAGAGCCTGACCAAGGCATTCTCTTTCCTTCCACAGGTTCATTGTAGTTGCAAGCGTTTTGTGATGCTGATTGGGCTAGATGCCGAGACACTAGGCGATCGATAACTGGTTACTGCGTCTTGCTTGGCCAAGCACCAATCTCATGGAAGACTAAGAAGCAAACCACAGTATCTCGTTCTAACGCCGAAGCCGAGTACCGGTCTATGGCTACTACATGCTGTGAGATAACATGGCTGCGGAACATTCTCAACGATTTGCAAGTGAATCATCATCAACCGGTCTCCTTGTTTTGTGATAATCAAGCAGCTATACATATTGCCTCAAATCCCGTCTTTCATGAACGAACAAAGCACATAGAGATTGATTGTCACCTAGTGCGAGAGAAGATTCAAAAGGGAATAATACGCACGTCATACATACGGACAGGTAATCAGCTAGCTGACATATTCACCAAACCATTGAGCTCGACACAATTTGAAACCTTACTCAACAAGTTGGGTGTCATTAACATACACTCCAACTTGAGGGGGAGTGTTAAGAAAGGAATCTTAGATTGATTTGTCAAATATTATAGATTGATATTTAATTACCTATTAGGTTATCAATTAGCCTTATTTGTAGGGAATAGAATAGGAAACAAGTCATGTAAGACTTTGTATAAAGCTGTAAATCCCGTTGATGTCAATATACAGAAATTCATTCCTATACTTTATGCTTTTTCTATGAACAAAGATATAGACAAGTTGGGATTGTTCGACTTTCTCCATCGACTCTGTTGCACTTGTTAGATTTTACGTAAAGGTATATGACCGAAATGCACGATGACCTCATGGGTTGTCGACCAGTGGATCCCTCCGAAGCACGTTATCCTTACGATTAATTGGACCACAGCACAGCACTCATAACGCACAACAGCATAATTATACACGTCACACTCGGCCTTAATTTGGTCCCCATTTGAAGATAGGAGATAGACGATATATGCAGTAGCAGAACCCCATTTGCTTCTTTATCAGCAGTAACCTAGCTCGCTCGCTCAGGTGGAATGAGAGCGAGAACCGCCAATCTTATGATTCCTATCGTGCTAGCTAGCATATTACCGTGCATGGTAGTAATCTATTTATACACTTGGGGACCCGACACGTAGACTCAAATGAATTTAAAATTTCCTCTACGCCAAAATTACTGCATGCTTTTAAACATTGGATGGATCTGAAGGGAAATCTTCTGTGAATCTTGGTTGGAGCAGCCCTAATTCTACTAATAAATAAGTGTAGTGCCGTTCACACACATCTTTTTATTTCTCACATACCTTTATTAATTTTTGTCCATTGATTTTCTTCAATTCATTCGATCTAACGTTCATAAATTAAGAGGGGTGTGTGATAAGTAAAAATGAGTGTATAGATAAAACCAGCTATAAATAAATGATTAGGGGTATTTATTATAGGCAGATAAAGTATAAATTGTATCACAAAAGATCTCTATACAATCAGGATTGGAAATACTTATTAGAGTAATGCTACATTAACATATATTTATATTATCTCTCTAATAGAGATAAGACTTACATGTTATGAAGACTCATGCAACTCCTATATTGTAGACACAAACCGATCCATTATTTTCCAACGATCATGATCTGGTCTGCTTCTACAGAAGTTGATACATGAGATGTTAACGGGAGGATCTTGCTGAGTAAACTTCTGGGCAAACTTTTGTTTGATAATCACTCTATAGGCAAGTTTGGTCAGTGTGGTCGATCTCGTGGTTCACTATAATATTAAAGGTCAACCGATTGGGTCTTTTAATCTACTCGTTTATTTTATTTATTCATTTATTCTTATTTATGACCGAAAGCTTGACAAGTAAGCAAAAATGATTGGATAATATAAACATTAAATTATAGAAGAAAAAACCAGCCCAAAGAAGCGCAAGGCCCAATATTAATAGGGCCTAAAAAAGAGCAAGAGTTAACATTAAAGAAGTGGACCCATGCAATACTTAAAATCGGGAAACAATTAAGCTACAAAGTACCCTCCAACACTTAATTAGTAAAAGGCTTCCAATTGCCCGATTGTCGTTATATTTGAGAGAATTTCATTCAAATTTTCATTAAGTAATATCATGTGTGAGGCATGTGAAATACTTTCGAGTAAAAAACCCCCAAACTATCATACGGATGTCAATTACCCTCTCACCCAAACTATTTAGATGAAATTCTCTCAAATCTTATTGTTTCTTGAGTCAAATTCTAGGTTTATTCTTAAACCTGTGTCCACACGCCTCTCACGTGAACCACTTAACTACACCACAAATGAAATATTATACAACAAATTATGGATCAAAACCAAGTAGCAAAGGGGCAACCCGCAACAAGGGCTCCAATGCGTCAGGTAAGAATTTTCTAGCAAACAAGAAACACACTGAAGTTGTATTGCCATTGTACGTGCATTCTGATCCGAACCGAATCCGATTAAGAAACTCATCCGTAATATCCATCCATCCAAATTTTCCAGGATGAGGACCACCCCTTGACCAATCCACCCAGGTGACGCTCCTATTTGAACTCAACTCAGTGTACATCAAGTTCACAAGTGTTGGAATATAGTGCTCATCAATGTAACAGGGAGGGTTGCAGTACCGTTGAAAGATCGGATAATATTTCCGATCTGAAACGATGTGGACGGCAAGCTCACGGTGCACTTCGAACCACTGAGACCCCTTTCTCCAATCTGTGATGTTTATCATGGGGTACATTTGAGGGTTGTACCGGCCACGGCCTGGCTTCCTCGGGTCATCGAATGAGTTCAGGAAGCTTAGGTTTGAGTTGATGAGGTAGTGATATGCTGTTGTGAAGTTGAATAGAGGAATGCAGGATTCAGAAAGCAACACAAATCTTTGATTGGAGATGTCAAGAAGTGCATTTGCCAGGAGTCGTCTCTCGGCATCTAGCATTGATGATGTCCCCCAATAGACTGGCTGCAACCGAATGAATAGTATTGGTTTCAAATATAGCAAAGATTGTTTAATTGCTTTCTTCTTCATTTTGGTCATACTTAAAAATACAGAAACTCTTATCCATGAGCTTATTATCTCCAACAAATTGGGGTTTAATGTTCACCACAAGAGTCTAGAATGTATGAGTTCAGTGGTCCATTACGAATTAGCGTGTTTGGGTTAATTGTAATTTTAACGACAGATACAATACGACTTGAAACTTGCATGAAGTTAGCAGATTTGAGTTGATTTTTGCTTCACATAAAGACAAACATGACACAACCCAGACTCTAACAAATTGGTTATGCTAGGAAAGCTGAAGCTTAGGGCCGGTCTAGTAACGTTTTACAAAACAATTTTTAAAGATCTATTGTATTATGATATGCAAAATATCTAATAATTGAATCCGAGAATAATTTTTTAAAAAGAAAACATTGAAAATGTATTTGAAATGTGGTTGTAATATAAACTACTGTCAAACACGCGCATGACATATTGACAGGAATTACTATCCTAGGACTTTCTTAAGGCTCAGCCTTCAAGCTATTGGATATATGAATGCTAAAGTTGAAACCAATATCAATGTTGGATAAATGATCAGTAGTAAGCTCCACACTAATTGATTTCCTAAGAGATGTGTACATATTAACTTGATCAATCACATTTAAATACTTCCATTATAGAAATGAACCTCTACCATACGGTTTAATGGTTTTCATCTCCAATTGTAGGTGGAGATTTTTATGTTCGACTTACACAAATAGTGAAAACGATACCAAATTAGTGCTAACCTATTTTGGGCTTAGCTCAACTCCCATCCACAAAAATAATGAAGGGAACTAACCTGGCTATGAATTCTTCTACTATGGAACACAGAATCTTCAGGCACTGATTCATTGAAATCGGGGTGTGCGTGCACATAGATGGAGTATAGTCCTTCGTGTCCCTCGAAAAACTTCTCCCACAAGGGAGACAAAGGCAGAGGTCCCTTTGTCAAGAACATGAAAGCCACTTTCGGAACAAGCTTGTAAGGCAAATCTTGAATTCGAGGAACCATCAATGCCCTCGAAAACAACTCCTTGTCACTCATATTGTGTACAAGGAATTTTTGTTCTGTGAGTGAAACATTGTTAGATGTCCCATTTTTGGAGAAAGATAGTATGAGAAATGGCGGCGGTGGGGGAAGCGGATTTGGTGATGGGGGTGGCGACGATTGAGCTTGAAGTGATGATGGTTGTAAAGGAAAAATATTGTTAATGGAATTTAGGGAGGCTTGAAAAGTAGTGAATGAGAAGCTCTGGAAATATAAGGTAATTATGATACCTAGTGACAAGCCTATGCCAAAGAAAAGGAAATGAAGGACATGGTTTAGCTGGATTAGGGTTCGGAAGGGCCGGAAAATTGACTGAATTTGGAATTGCTCATGGCTCGTCATTTCCACTGGCCAGATCGGAAAGAAAGATATCGAGGAAGGAGTTTCCTAGCTGGCTAGCTCATCAAACTGCTAATAGTAAAGTCAAGCTGAAAGTTCTTGCAAATGTAGGCTTCTCTGTGGAGAAGGTATTTAGCATGTTCTTTGTGGACTTTCTACATCGTGCTTCAAAGTTAAGTAGGAGATTAATAGTAATTTAGCTGTAAGCAATCAGGAAAGGGCCTTTTGGAGTTTGCAATCAGTTGGAGCATAAGTTGTCCAAGAACTTGAAGCAAATTGTTTAAGCTGATGAGGGTTGACAAACCATTCCTTCAATACCACACAAAATAATAAAAAAAATGAAAAATAAAAAAGCTAACCCCATTTTTAATTTTTGACAATTACCAAAAATTAAGCGGGTTGTCATAGATTAACAGGAGAAATGAAAACTTAGGCAAATGTTAATCTCTTTGCATGTTGAATGGTCAAACACGTTGGATTGGAATTGGCAAATCACAAATGAGTGTGGTCGTGGTCCAACAAGTCACCATAAATATTGACAATCGCCAAACAATGACAAATACAGCATCCATAAAGCACTGCTAAAATTATGGCAATTAAGCCTCTTTTCTCTCTTTCTTTTGAATGACCAGTTTTTAAGTTCTCGATCTTACTTCTCATTCTACAAGTAGGGTTTGGTCATCGTTTAATAGCCCACTATCAAATATTGAATTAGGTACTACCTGTTTACTTTGACTAATATGCACACATGATTAATTATACTAATTTTATCTAAACTATGAAGATGAGAGAGAGTTTGAACCCGATACACAACAGGTTGTAGAGAAAAGTCTTATTTATTAGGGTAATTCACCAATTATATATGCATGGTTTGCTTGAAGCACAAAGTTACAAGTTATTTCAATTATTAAAACATCTTTTCTAGGGTAGTATACTACTGTACTATCTTCCACATTACTTAATCCCACATGTTTATGATTCTTGTCAAGCTGTTATTGCAAATTTTTGTAAACTAAAGACTAATAGGGTAATTGGCAGCTGCTGAAAGTTTGGTTGATTAAAGTATCTTGGCACAGTTTCTCTAGTCATTTTCAGTGGCATAATTATTCTCATTCTTGGAATGATATGCACAAATGTGGAAAGAAACAATGGCAAGGATTGGTATTTACGAAAGCACGATTTACATATATAATTGTTAAGTTTAATTATAGCCAGCTCTGATACCATATTAAAATTTAAGCATTTAATTTAAAAACAAATGACAATTAGGAGGAAGAGAGAAGATTATTTAAACCACCTAGGCAGAACTTTCTAAGCCCACTAGAAATTTCCCGCCAAACCACAAATCCTGCTCCTCCTTGCTTCTCCAGGGAGGGAATCAACCCCACTGACTCAATCCAAGTACCATTTCCATATCTACTTCATTAGAATCGGCAGCGGCCGGTGGCAGGGGTCCAACAGGCACATCTTGAGCAGCACCAACATTCACCCCGACAACAATTTGATCAGGTGACTCAGTGAAACTCGGCTCCTTGGCCTCCACCCCCTCTTGGGCCTCCTCCTTGTCTTCCTTTCCTCGTCCCTTGTCTTTTCCTCCTCCACCTTATCTTCCTTTACCTCCTCCTCCTTCATTTGAAGCTCTCTTGCCACTCGCCTTGTAAAAATTCCATGGCCACTATGGAGTCCGTCAGTATTCATCATCATCCCTCTTTTTGAGCTTTTTTTTGTTTCCTCCTTTGCTTGATGAGCTGACTATCTGCTTCTTCATTTTCTTTGTTTGAGAGAGTGGGTCTGGATGAGCTTGCTGGGTATGTAGTAGAAGCTATAGAAAGAAGATAGCTTAATTTGAGCTTCTTTGAGCACAAAAGGGAGTGAAAGTGATTGCTCTCTTATATACACGACTCGCCTTGTTAAAACTCCATGGCCACTATGGAAACCATCGGCATTCATCATCATCCTTCTTTCTGAGATATTTTTGTTTCCGGCCTTGCTTGAAGCTCTCTTGCCATTCCTCTTCATGAGCTGCCTGATCTTCCTCTTTGCACTTCCTCCTTGCCCAAATGTGTTTCTCTTTGTTGACTGAGCTAACCTGTAATGAATTGGCGACAAAACAATGAAGCACATGCATAATCAAAGTATTTATTCGCAGACCAAAAAAAAAAAAAACACATATAACTTGACGAGATATCTTTGTCATACCGGTAAATCATCGATTCGATAGAAGATGAATGGCCTCTTCCTTAATATGCACATCATATGAAATAAAGCGTCATCTTGATAATCAAAATGTCTTACTGGAATTTTCTGCAACCAAAAAAAAAAAAAAAAAACAGATAAATAAACTATATACATATCTATTGTTTAGCTCATATTCTGAATGGCTCATTGCTATGAAATCTTTAATTTCTAATATTCTATAAGTAGATACAGTAGCCTAATTAATGTATTTAGAGGTTGAAACATGGCGATCCCTTCCGTTATGGAAACATAATGAATATCCGCTATGAGATATATGTTCCACATCATATTCATAAATTTGATAAAATTAGCTAGGTACGAAATTTATTATGTTGGTCTCGCGTTGAGCTTGGTTTTTTGTTTCATTTTTGGATTCTTGACCTTTTTTCCCAAAACAATAATAATTTAAGGATATTAGTACTATTAAGAAATCTACTTAATTGTAAAAAGAAAAAAAGTTTCATAAAACATTCAACTTACCTACAAATATCACGAGCAACAAACTAAATCCGACCACAGATCAAGGGTGAAAGATTTGAGAGATAAGTGGCTTTCAAAGAGTAAGCTTTTCCAAATGTGAAGGGCATGAGGTGAGACCGTCAGACTAGGACCTAGTTTGGTATTGTTGCGAGAGATAAAATTAGATGCGAGGTAAAGCTGTTGAGGCAAAATAACCACAAGTCAACAGTGAAAGATCTGAGGTGATGAGTGAGAAAAGGAATGAAAAGGAATGGTATTAGGAAGTGGCGAGCTTTGCTAGAAATTTGAAGTGGCGGAAATGAAGAGGATGGAGTTAGACTAAGAGGAATGAGGCCTTTACATATGCATATTGTGTACTCTTCGGTTTTCTAAATGCGTTCTTTTTCATGTGAAGTATCAGTGACGAAACAATTCACGAGAAGATACTTTAGTTTTATTTATCATACCGTACCCAAATCTTCGCGTGATGACTGCGCCCTAAATTTCGTGTGGTGATGTCAATATATGTACGTTGCTACTAGCTATGAGATTATGAATATTATTTATCGCACTCAATGCGACCTATACGACAACTTCCATTTCTAGCAAATTATTGTTAAAGTGGTTAGTGTTAGAGTATAAGGTTGATTAGATTGTGACAAGTGTCAATTGTAAAAGAGTGCCATGTGTCAATTTGTTATTGAGGTCTTGATGTCAGGTGTGTCAATTCATGCATTCACCTTTGGAATCTCACTATGTTGTTGTCAAGAGGATTTTGAGATATCTTCGAGGCACCTTAGGATGGGGTCTATGTTTTCGACTTGGCTCATTAGGACTGAAAGCATACACAGATGCTGATTGGGCAGGTGATCCCAATGATCGAAGGTCTATTACAGGTTTTGTTGTCTTTCTTGGCTCTAATCCTATCTCTTGGAGCTCTAAAAAATAGCACACTGTTAGTAGATCATCCACAGAGGCCGAGTACAGGGCAATGGCAACGACTACTGTAGAAATTGTGTGGCTGCAACAACTATTAAAAGGTATGCACATTGACAGTCCTTCTCCTCCTTTACTGCATTGTGATAATCTATCTGCCATGGCATTAGCAACAAACCCTATTTTGCACTCAAAAGCTAAACATATTGAAGTTGATTGTCACTTTGTACGAGAACGTGTTCAACAAGGCACCATTTCTCTCCAATTTGTTGCTTATGTGGATCAGCATGCAGATATATTCACTAAAGGCTTATGTTCTCCTTTGTTTACATCTCATTGTTCCAATCTTATGCTTGCTTGTTCTCGGCATAAGATTGAGGGGGAATGTTAGAGTATAAGGTTGATTAGATTGTGACAAGTGTCAATTGTAAAAGAGTGCCATGTGTCAGTTTGTTATTGAGGTCTTGATGTCAGATGGTAGTTATACTGTGAGGTATTTATGTTGTAGAAAAACCAGTATTCATTTAATGAAAAACAGAAATTGACAAGTCGACTAATTTTTTTTTTAATTTTTCTTGTGTATTCTTTCTCTCTTTAATATCTCTTAGCTGTGTTGATAGTTAGGGTTTCTTTAATTCAGTAATGCAAAAAAGGGTAACTAAAAGCAAGATATGGCTAGAAATGAGATAGTATAGTATCTGGAGGCATGGATTAAGTGATCTGTGTGCCGATCGGGTTGCCAAAATTACCTGTTTTGCAGCATTGTTATGGGTTTACATGAGCTTGTTGGCCCTCTTGATGGTATCAATAATCATCTAAAGGAACCATCGGTAGGAGGCGAGAAATATTTTCAATTTTTCAAGTTCATGGAAACCTGATTAAGAAATAAATAAATTTCTATACTTAAACTTGATGTCTAAAATTTAACTAGTTCTGTATAAAGTTTGGTGCTAACAAAAAATATGAGATTTTCTTAAAAATTGAATAATTATTAAGTAATCGTGTGCATTAAATTAAAAATAAAATAAAAACCATTCCATCACACATTATATATTGAAATGGTGTATTTTGGTTTGGTCTACTATGGTGAATCTATGATATCCAATGTCTTTATTCAATGTTATGACCATGTGTAATTAAGTAGATGCAATGAGCATAGCTAACTTATCGTTAATTAACGTAGCTCACTTGCAAATCGTTGTATAGAAATGTAACTTGCAACGCACGTAAGTTTTGGTTTCGTGGTAAGGTTTTTTCAAATTTGAGTGTTGGCGAATACCAGATGTATTCGGGATTACTTAAGGAAAATTGTACAGAAAGAGGATTTACGAAACCTCATCATGTTGATTAATTATGTTTCAAAGCTTTTTTGATTATTCGATGATTTAGGTATCAGTAAATCTACACCTATTGGCCGAGTATTATCATTTTCTTGTTGATAAACACCAGCATATATAGGAGGATGCAAAAATCACAATAAGAAAATTACTGAAACAAGTAATTGACTAATAAAGAGACATTTGCAGCAAGCTAATAACTCTAAAACATTAATAATTAACCATCAGCACAACATATAATAGACTGTTTAGGGGATGAATTATCTACAAATTCCAAAGGCTT